ACATATATCTGACCATCTAAGCTGCCACTGAGTAAAGATGCAAAGAGAGTAGACAAAATTGATTCGATTGAGGCTCTCCCTTTACTTGATCCATTTTGGCAATGGTACAAGCTACGGCGATGAGGAGGAGAGATCGTAGCAAAACTCGGACAACTCCAATGGCGTCAAGCCAGGGTGGAGCCACCTTGGTGAACCTGGTCTTGACACATCCTTGCCGCAAGCTTTCCACAACCAATGCCCCTGCTAACCAGTCTACCTTCCTTGAAGCGGAAATTTCAGTAAACGTGGAATGTGCCTCTAAAGAAGAGTACTTTCAGTGTCGCATGTGAACGTGACAGGAAGAATCGAGCCCAACTCTACTGATTTCCAATTCTTTTACATCTACTCTGTCCAACATATTCGGATATACCGAGTAGGTTTTACAACTGTCATACCTTTATTGAATTCACCTTGGCAACTGAGACTGCTCTCATACTGTAGGCCAGAAGAGGCCTGTACTGCTCCCATACTATAGGCCAGAAGAGGCCTGTACCTGGAAAAGAGGGTGGCCTCACGCGTGTGCGGAGCAGGGCCAACTCTCCGTTGACACAAGTTTTGGGGGTCGTATTTGATTTTTTAGGGAGGAGAGGTAGGGAACTGGGTCATAAACATTTTAAAAAGGTACCAGCGCTAGGGTTGACCCTGACACGGAAGGGAGGGCCATGAGAATGACTACAAGAGTCGGTGAATCTCGCCGTTCCTAGCACCTGACTCTTTGGCACATTCGGGTGAATCTCGAAGCAAACGTTGAGTTTCAGAATCCGTCTAATACAACAGAACTACCGGACAAGATCTATACCGCAACACAGTCGGCAGCTTGTGGGATAGAACTCAAAAATGGCACCGAATATCTCCTTGGAGGTGAGTTATTCCGATGGCGTTTGACAAATATTGTAAACCTTTACCATAATAAGATTATTTGAAGATTATTAACCTCCAGCATATCATCGGCTTGAGGTTTCACTCTCTTCTGATCGGGGTAAAGCGCTGGCCGCTTTGGATTT